GTTGGCCATTGAACGACCACTCATGGCAGCTCACGGTAGCTCACGCTGGCTGCCGGCCAGCCCCACTGCAGCCTGCGCTGTCACCGGCGACTCACGGCAGCCCAGCTCCAGCTCGAGCTGCTGTTCACCATCTTAGCTGTAGAGGGCGCAGCATCACTGGCATATGTGGGATCCGAACCGGGGCCCTACTGCTCAGAGCTTGTGCTCCCAAGCCAGCTCTTAACCAATGAGCCACTCAACCGGCCCGCAAACTTTTTTATAGGTAGAAACAATACATTCTAAAATAACAATAAAATGTATAGCATAGTAAATACATAAACCAGTAACATAGTCATTCATTATCATTATCAGGTATTTTGTACTGTACATAATTGTATATGCTATACTTTATACAACTGGCTGCTCGGTAGGTTTGTTTACACCAGCATTACCACAAACACATGAGTCATGCGCTGCTCTATGGCATCACCACAGCTAGGACATTATGAGGCGAAAGGAATTTTTCGGCTCCATTATAATCTTAGGGGACCACTGTCATACATGCAACCCATCCTTGGCTGACATGTTGTTGTGCGGTGCATGACTGTAGTACATTTTTTAGGGGAAACCAGTTTGGAACTATGACTTAAGGAAATGTGACATGATAGGCAGAAGAATAAAGGTATTCTAGGCAGGTATGGAGACAGGAAGACCAGGTGCAGACAGCCAGCTTGCTCAGAATGAAGGACAGAGGGGTGGATACAGTTAATGACAGATGCATTGGGTCAGGCTGGCTGGTAAGCAGCAAAAAAAAAAGTTCCCAGATTAGATCTGGAAGGTCATAGGGACCCACCAGAGGTCATGCGATGAACATAATTAGAACATCAGAAATTGAAAACTAATTAAACCACTATAGAACAATAGAGAAAATAAGAGGATAAGGGGTCACAAGTACCTCATTAACAAAACTCAAGTACAGTCTTCCAAGGAGTAGATAGAAAGAAGCATTAAAAGGATTGTCTCTGTGTGGGGAGGGGCCTTTATACCTCTCCCCTCTTCTTGACCCCGGTGGCTCCCACAATTTTGCCCACCCTGGTGGGGAATGCAGCTAGAATGCCCTTTGGCCGTTTCCCTATTCAGTCCCAGGCTTAGGCAAAAAACTCTTATTTCTGGTGTCAGAAATTATCAAAGTTACATTGTCTTTTCTAAAGGTATCTTTATTAAAACTAAGAAAAAGTGACCAAGAAAAAATACAAACAGCTAAACACTAGTCAAGTCTCCAAAACACAGTGCAGGTTTCTGCTCCTGTAATTGCTAACTAACAGATCCTGAGGTTCCAAATCCTATTTTAGAGAATCCTGTTTTGGAAGTTCCTTTTAGAAACCTATACAGAATAGATAAGCAGAAACTGATACAGAATAGATAAGCAGCTTGCCCAAGGCCACACAGGTAGAGAGTGGCTGAGCAAGGATTCAAACCCAGGCTTCTGCGTCTATGCTCTTAGCAATAACTACCCCATGTTGGAAATTTGCCTCTTGACGTTTAAATGATAGGAAAATGCTTCAAGATATGTGGAACCTATTTATACTTGCTTTGGAGAAATAACTGATAAGTTTTTAAATCTGGTTTTCAGCTACCAGCAGATTAGAAACAGGGTAGAATGCAAAAAGCAGGCCCATTAGCAGCCCTCAAAAGTAAGAGCAGCCCGAGAAGAAAACAGGAGAAAACTCAAACAGCACTGTTGCCCAGAGCCATTTATTATGCATTCTGCGGTCATTATCGAGCACTTGCTAAGTGCCAGACACATTCTTCATGCTGAAGCTACAGCAGTGAACAAGGCAAAAATCCCTCCCCTTGTGATCCATACATTCTAATGGGGAAGACGTTATAAACAGATACATATTTTATGACAGATAGTGACTGTGGCTCTGAAGAAAATAAAGCAAGGTACCAGGGCACGAAGTGATGGGAACAGCTCTTTACATAGGGTGGTAAGAGACAGTCTGTCTGAGGAGGTGGCATGTGAGCTGGGACCCAAATGAAGTAACGGGGCCAGCCACATGTATATCTAGGAAGGGAACAGCTTTAGACTTTGTTGGAAATGTGTATGGTTAATTGTATATGCTAAACATTAAAAATAATGGAAATACCATCTTTAGTTTCCAGCCCAGCAAAGGAAATAAAGAAAATTCAACCTAATGGGGGGGAAAAAAAAGAGGAGAGGAAAAAGCCAAAAAAAAAAAAAAAAAAAGAAGCAGTCTTTACAGAAAACACAATATAATGTACATGGAATAATTTCAAATATATCAAAAATCACAATAAACAGAAATGGACTAAAATGATTAATAAAAGCAAAGGTTATCAGTTTATTTTTTTTAAGCAAAATTGTCCGTAGCCATGACAACCAACATCATAGCAATGGTATATCAAATAGAGTACTTCAGTAAGCCGCTTGGTTTTGCACAGTTGTGAAAAATAAATGTTGACGTTTTTAAAATGTGATTTTTGATTGTCATTTTGCTTTGTTCTCATACTTAGCCATTATTGGACCTCCTAGACTGCAAGTAGAGGTGTTTGCTACGTCTTTATATATACGTTTCACAGCCCCTAAAACTGCGAAGGACCTTGAAACATGGACTGCAAGGAATATTTATGACTCATGGGTTTATAATGTGCAATATTGGAAGAATAGCTCTGATCAAAAGGTAAGCTTGGCAAATCGTACGTGATTCAAATATAGGCCTCCTGTTCTTTGCTTACTGTTGGTCTGAGGCCAGGACAATGGAGAGAGGAGGCTAGGAAGCCACCTCGTCAGGGTCTTTCAAGGTGGCAGCACCTTAAGGTCCAGAGGATCTAAGGCCTGGTCCTCTGAGCGCCGGAAGTTCCCAGTCTGAGGGATGACCAGTCTCGCTGGCTCACGCTTCCCAGACCCAAGGGAACTGTGCAGAGCTGACTTCTAGGACGCTGGCTCAGTGAGAGCCGGCGTTTCTTTCCCCAAAGGGAAGTTGCGGGAGAAGGCAGAGCTGACTCAGCAGTTGGCTGGGGGAACTTGGAATCAGCTGAATCAGGTGATCAGCTGAATGACTACGGCTTCATGGCATGAAGCCTCTGCCTCGCATGCACCACAGAATAGTCAAAGTCATGGTCAGGGAGCCCCACCCCTGCACACTGGACGAACAGTGTCACATTTTACCTGTTTGACCCCACTTTTCCCCATTGCTCTCCTCCTTTTCAGGGGACAGTTTCTTTGAAAACATGGGCTAGGAGTGGAAAGACCTGGTTGGAGTGTTGCCCCTGCCACTATGTGACTCTGGTCATTCATGTTCTTGACCTCAGCTTCCTCATGTCGGCAGAATGGGCGTAATAATCCTGTTCATTAATAAAGGGGGGATAATAATGTATTTCATAGGATTATTGGGGGATTTAATGGCATAATGAAAAAAATAAGCTGGTCTCATTGCCTGACCAATGTATATGGCAGTCCAGAGGTCCCTTCCCCTTTTGTAGACATGTTAAGGTTAGTTTCATTCATCCTGGATCAAGTTTCATTCTTATACTCAGTGCTTCTGAGCTGAATGCCTTTTGTGGTCCTAAACTGACTGACATATATGTTATGTCAGTTAAGTTGCATATATGTTATCTCTTCTACATTAAATGTTGATTTTATCACTTAATTCTCAAGAGTTTGGGAGGAAAGGGTCACCCATGTGTACTGGATTATGAATGATGTAATTAAATTTATATGTACATATTGCATAGCCCCAAAGAATCTCAAGTTAACTTTTTCCTTCAGAAAACGCTCCATTAAATGGCGTAAGATATCTGCCTTCTTCGCAGAATAGACGATTTTGCTTATAGTCAAGACCCAGGAAATGTATGCCTACAGAGCAATATAGAATAATGTGATTTATGGTCACTTATCAAATGCAGCTGACAGTTAAGCTCTGGGATGCAAATATAAAGACAGATGGACCTGCTCAAGGAGTTAGCAATGTACTTTAAGGATTGGATTCCACAGTTAATGGTACCTTGGCTGAATGCCTCCTGCACCAAGTATGAAATGCAAAGCCCAGCTTATCTTCAGCTTCTTATCTAGAAGATGCCCACAGAACAGGCATCTGGTTACACATTTGTGCAATCACTCAGCCCATTGTGTGGATGCGTTTGATGTGACATGCTGAGTGTTGGGAAGGCTGTCTGCTCCCCAGTTCCTTACCGGTGCCCGCAGTGTCACCATGACCAGTTTATATGTGCTATAGACTGAATGTTTGTGTCCCCCACCCCAAATTCATATGTTGAAACCTAATCCCTAATGTGATGATATTAGGAAGTGAGGCCTTTGAGAGTTGATTAGGTCATGAAGGTGGAGTCCTCACGAATGAGATTTCTGCCTTTATGCAAATAAAAGACCCCAGAGATCTCCCTCGGCCCGTCCTTCCATGTGAGGACTCAGGAGAGGACTGCAGCAATGAACCAGAAAGTAGACCTTCATGAGACACCAAATCTGCTGGTACCTTGATCTTGGACTCCCAGCCCCCAGTACTGTGAGAAATAAATGTTTATAAGACACACCCAGTCTGTGGTATTCTGCTATAGCAGTCCTAAAGGAATAAGACAGTCTGGTTCTCTTTTAGAATGCACATGTTTCTGAGAGGGTGCCATGTTAGATCCTGGAACTGATAACATGAAAGACTTTTGGAAATTCTATTGCTTCCTGATGGGAGAAATTGAGAAGATAAAACCAGCAGTTGCCCAGAAGTGAAGGAAGGCTAGAAAAAAGCAATCAGAGGGGATTGGATCAGGTCCTTCACATCTGTGCTGCCTTCTTTCCTGCCTGCCACTCATGGGTCAGCCTCTGAATTTAGTCTTTGAAAAAAGAGCATTGTAAGGTTTTAGAGGTATTGGATTTCTAGAAATGAAAGCCTGGACTTTTCGGGTTTTATTTTTGTTTTTAATTATTAGGAGTTATACCATACTCTTCATGTGTTCAATTGGTATAATCCAATTCTTGCCCTCAATGAATTTGGCTTCTCATATAATAAAGGAATATAGACAAGATGTCAACAAACCCAACCCCAAAAGGAAAATAATCAATTACTACAGTAAAAAAAGTCTGTGCTCACTTCCTGTTGAAGTTCCTATTCCTATAGCAAATTGTGCATAGGACCCTTCTGTAAGGAAATTAACAACCATGATGCAAATGCAAGTAGTATTTACTCCTGAATTCCCTTTATTTCACTGGAAACTATTTTGGATTCTCAACTTCAGGAATAGATCATCAATTAGGATATCTTATATTTAGATTAGACTAAGGTAAGTCAGGGATGCCCCCACCAGAGGCAGGCAGTGGTTTGTGCCTTCGAGGTGAGGTGGGCCACTGGATGCAGGCAACCCGGGTACACAAGTGGAGAAGTGATTCTGAGGAGAACCCCGGACAGCAAGAGTCAGACACATGCTCTAGACTTAGAAAACCACATTGAGTCTTGCTGTAGATGATGACCATCTACAGTGTGTTAGCTCGGGCTGCTGTAACCAAGCGCCATCAGCTGGGCTACTTAAACAGCAGAATGTATTGCCTCAGGGTTCTGGAAGCTAGAAATCCAAGAGAGATGTCAGCAGGGCTGGCTCTTCTGAGGCCTCTCTCCCAGCTTCTAGTGGTCTGATGTCAACCTTCGGTTCCTTGGCTTGTAGAAGCAGCACCCCATCTCTGCCGACATCTTCACAGGGAGTCCTCCCTGTATGCATGTCTTTGTCCAAATTTCCTCTTCTGATAAGGACATCAGCCATGTTGGATTAGGCCCCCTAATGACCTCATTTTAACTTGATTACCTCTATAAAGACCCTATCTCCAACTAAGTCACTCACTAAGGCACTACAGCAGCGGTTCTCAACCTTCCTAATGCCACGACCCCTTAATACAGTTCCTCATGTTGTGGTGACCCCCAACCATAAAATTATTTTCGTTGCTACTCTATAACTGTAATTTTGTTACTGTTATGAATCGTAATGTAAATATCTTTTTGTTTTCAGATGGTCTTAGGCGACCCCTGTGAAAGGGTCGTTCGACCCCCAAAGGGGTCGCGACCCACAGGTTGAGAACCGCTGCTCTACAGGGTTAGGATTTCAATATATGAATTCGCGGGGAAAGAGGGAACCAATTCAACCCGTGCAACTAGTTTATCTTTTTTAAGGAAGAAGTGGGGTGGTTTGTATGTCATTTAAATTAGAGAATTCAAGAAATGAGATGGTTTGTCAGTATCACAGTCAGGACTTGCCCTGTCCCTTAGAATGGGACCCCTGAAATGGGCTGGCAGCCATGCCTCACTCCTTCATCTCCCTATGTTGAGCCTGAAGTAAAGATTATAACTGGGAAGTTCGGGGGGGGCGGGGAAGATGGCGTCCCTTCACTCCTGAGACGTGCTCTTATTTTTGTCTTTGTTACTAGTATCTAGTTACTACTGAGTATGACTTGAAGGTCCTCAAAGATCTTGAGCCATGGACAGTGTACTGCGTTCAAGTTCAAGTGTTTCTTACCGATCGAAACAAAACCGGTCCATGGAGTGAGCCTGTCTGTGAGCAGACCAAGAGTGACGGTGAGTCTTGAGATGCACCGCCTGTAATTCTTCTCCTCTGAGCATTTTAAATAGCTTTGTAGACTCCCGAGTGTGAGGGTTGGAAGGCTCCTCAGACATCACCACGTCTAACGCAAACTCCCCCTTAGTTCAGCCCTGACTGATGGGCTTGTGAGGCAGCGTGTTCACTCAGACCAGAGGGATGGAGGGACACGTCTTCCTTCCGGGGAGCTGAGGTCTGCCTCCGTGCGCCCATCTCCGCTGTGCTCATTCTGTCCTTGAAGCAAGTGTCATCAGTCCTCCCAAGAGTGCCCAGCAGAGGTTGGCCCTGTCACACCCCCCAGGAGCCTTTCCTTCCCAGGCTGCATGCCTCCACTTCCTCCTGACGCGTGACAGGAAGGGAGTGTTTGGAAAACCTGTCACTCCTCCGCAAGCACTGCTTGTTTCAGAGTCCGTCGTCCAGTACGGTCCCGGGACCTGAATACTCCTTCACAGCATCTAGCAGAGTGCCTCCACACTTGGCGTTTCTTGAGAGAAAACAAAGAAGGAGGAAGGGAGGGAGCAAAAGAGAAAGATGGAACCAGTTGGCCTGGATACTGTGATTATTTACATGCAGATGCGTTGCAGTCGCAACCAAGGTGGCAAAAACTCATGGCCTAGAACGTCTGCACACAAATGAGAGGCCTTTTGATGAATTAAAGAAGTAGTTGAGAGGCTCAGCCAGCTCAGACCATGGAAGGGTGAGCGTGTGTGGGGCCACTCCTGGCCATTTTCATTCACCACAGCCCTCCTGGGAGCAAGGCATTCAGCTGGGGCCACAGAAACCCAGAGGAAAGCAAGAAAGAATTCCCTGCAGAGGGACAGCAGACCTTTTCATCTCTTGTGTCGCTGTGCAGGTCTGAGAAGATGGCAGTGCTGCGCTGGCATTGATTCATCACTGCGGCTTGTCAAGTTCTTTTTGAATGTTGGTTTTGGTCATTGAACACATTTCTTCCCCCAATTTTGCTTTGTCTCATCTCCTGGTTTTCTAGGAAGAGCTCCAGGATCCTTACCAGACTGTCGCTTAAGCCACTGGTGTGTTCCAGGACACACTTTCCTTTAGACTGCTTAGCCGCTCGCTTACTGGTCACCAGTCCATCTGACGGTGGTGCCCTGTTATGTGAGCTGTTTCAATTCATTGTCCACAAAGTCATTGTGAAAGACTTTGCAGATACCAGCTGAAATCAACACCCAGTGCCAGGTGCAGCACTGCCCCACCTGTGTCCTGTGAGTATCTAGTGTCTCCACTTAAGAGCCCTGTAGCCAGGTATGCTTGGAGGACGGTGCACTGTATTTCTCTCTCAGAAAAGTCGCATATTTGACCTTTCAACACCTTGAAGGGTTAGCATTCTAAGGAACACAGCTTGGGAAAAACCAGCCCCATAATACGCCATAATTTACCAACAAGCCACTGGGTGCTAATTTCTTCCTGGTGCCCTAATGTTATCATGTTTAGTTATCATCCTTATCTTTTTTAAGGGTATGTAATGAACCACTTCTTTATCCATTCTGGAATGTTCGTATGTTTTCTGGAGATCAGTATCAAGTTTACTGGCCTGTAGTTCCCTGAATCTTCTTGGTTTTTTGGGGGGTTTTTTTTCCTCTTCTTTTGTAAAGGCACAAATGATTTGCCTGCATCCAGGATTCTTTCGCCTCTCCCAGACACATGCTCTCTGCAGTGTCATCCGAGCTGTTCTGCAGTTGTATTAGCCAGCTTTCTCAGGACTGCAAAGCCACTCAGAAGCTGAGAAGACTTCCTGTCTCTCAGGAGGGAATTCTCTTAGCACACTCCTTGCTTTGTCAGTCGCCCCAGTTCAGCGGCTTGCCTCTGGAGGGGTCCACTGAAGGATCACCCACTAAGTGACGAAATCCAGACATTTTTATAAAAATATGACCCATTGAAAACCGGCTTTAGTCAAACATCATTTTAGGTTTGCTTAAACAGAGTAATTCATTTAAACCTCACAACACGTTTTCAGGGAGAGCATTTTAAGAATCTTCTCCCCTTTTACAGACTGGAAAATGAAGGCTCAGAGAGACGAAAGGTGCTCCAATGTAAATCACAGAACACTTTCCCTGTCATTTACTACCTGCAGATTAATTCCATAGGTGAGCAAAGTCATGATGTTCCCTGCGGATTAAACAGAGACAGGTGGTCTGCCCGACAGCACGGTCAGATGCAGCTGACACAAGCTAGAAAGCTTTATGCAGAGGGTGCCGGTTAATAGATTCTCCCACAATTCACAGCCTGTGTAAAGCAGTGTCCTCTCTCCTTCCCCTTTTCTCCCTCAGGGTGAGTCTCAAAAGCATCTTTTGAATTGTGTCAGCATCAACCAGGTGTGCTTGTGGACTGTCCTTGTCTAAGATGCTACGATGGCCTAGCTGGAGCGACAAGGAGACCCAGCGGCTGGCCGCCAGGGGCTCATCACAGTGTCACCAGCAGTGCCAGGGTGGGCCCAGCAATCAGTGTTCAATGAGCGATTCTGAGGCATTGCCCCGTTAGAGACCCTCGAAATATTAAAAGGAAGGACAGATGGACGTGAATCCTGGAACTCCCTCAAGGGCTGGGATGTCAGCTCCCAGGTCCATCTCCTCTTGTCTGCTAGGGTGCAGCCTGGGGCCGCTCCAGCCTGCTCACTGTCCCATGACCCTGCACTCACCAAGGAAGCACACGTGTGCTTTGAACATGTTGAAAGTGTAGGTTAGAAGGCACCACCCCTTGATTCTAGTAAATGAAACAAGAATTCATAGGGGAACTTGGAAAAGGAGTTCCTCTGAAATCACAAGCTGGAAAGACTATGAGGTCACTGCCAGAGTGAATGAAAACATAATAGGACCAGGGAGGAAGGGCAGCGGCCGAGAAGATACGGCAGGCTCCTCCCAGCCGCTCCCCCTCTCACAGTCGCACCTCCATTATCAGATATCTAAGGAGTGTCTGTGAGCCCCTGTGCTAAGTGCTGGGAAGGCCAGCAGGTGGCTGCACTTGATGTAGCTCTAGGACCGTTTGCTGTCTGTTTCAGGGCTCTTGATCTGCCCTGTGTCAATAGAAATTGACGTTGCCCCCACAAATAGTCCCTTTAAAATGGCTTGCTCTTAAAGGGCAGGGTTTGTTCTCTTGGCCTCTCTCAGCACCAAACGCTTTGGGTCTTGACCCGGAGGGTGGTGCTGGTTGTCAGGGGTTGGGCATAGGGAAGTGAGGTGGCCAGGGCAGCTGGAAAAGGGACCTAGTATTGAACCAGAGGAGCGAGGACCACAAAGGACCTGGGTGACATCCTGGATACTGTCAGAGATAAAGCCGGGCGTTCGTTAAAGCGGTAAAAACAGGTTTCACTCAGTGAGGGCTTCAGGAAGGGAAAGAGCTAACTGGGCATTTTAAAGGAATGAGGGAGGAGAATGGAGAAGCGCAGTCAGGGAAGTGAAAAACCCGGTGAGACGGTGGGCCAAGGTCAATGCGATTAGGCCAAGGTCAATGCGATTAGGCCAAGGTCAATGCGATTAGGCCAAGGTCAATGCGATAGGCCATCTGTGTCTAGTGCTAACTGGCATCTATCGATGGAGCCTTCTACCCTCCCACAGAGGCTGGGAGACAGGCCACTCCTTCCTTATTACATTTTACAGGGATGGCTTTCCGGTCCTTGAGAAACACACGCCCGGGTTGTAGGAGATTCATGCACATCTCAGGGAAAGAGGAAAAACTCACAGCTTTCTCTAGTAAAGGCTCTAGGAAGGGAAGGTCAGATGTTGGTGGGACAAATGGAAAGTTCTTTTGGCATCCTTGAGTTTTTCCAGGCAGGAACTTAAGAGGACGCTGCGTCGCCCCAGCAGCGTGGCCTAAGCCTGCTAGAAGCCACGCTCGAGTTTGGGGGTCTGAGTGCAGGGGTTTCGGTGGAGCCATCTGTGCTGAGAGCTTTAGCAGTTCTCAGTAAAAAAACGCTACAGTACATGCGTTTCATTGGGGCCCTGGGGCCCAGGGAAGTCCCGTTTTCTGCTTCCAGGTAGAAGAGATTTATCCAGAATGGGAGGCCCCTCGCTACCTACCCTGCGAGTGGGGAAAGTGGATCAGAGTTCTTGCTTATTATTGTTTTTGTGTGTATCAGCCATCGTGCCAGAAGCCACACTTGGGAGAGGCTAGGAAAGGGGTGAAACTTGTTGGGAAGCTCTAGACCCTCAAACAGCTGTGTGTTTCCTCACACCTTCTGAGATGAACCTATGGGCCCTGTTTTCAGGCACTGCCATTGGAGCGTGATGGTGAAAACACTGTTCAGGTCACCGTGACTCAGTCTGTATGTGACAAGAATGTAACCCACTCCGTCCTCCCTGCAGAAACAGGCCTGTCCTGGCTCATCATCGCCGTGGTCCTCATAGTCTCCATTTTCGTGGCCTGCCTGCTTCTCTTCGGCTGCTTCGCCCTGCTGTGGTACATCTACAAGAAGACCAAGCAGGCCTTCTCCCCTGGGAACTCGCTTCCGCAGCACCTGAAAGAGGTATGTGGTGGGGGGAGCCCGGTGTGGATTGGAAACCCTGATTGGGAGGAGTTTTCCCCTCTAAGTCCGGGCCACCTAATTCAGGCCAGCGCGTTTCCCTGGAGAGTGACCCACGTCCTTACATGCGGGTCCATTTCCTGGTGCCCGATTCGGGCACATCTGTGGTCACAGCCCTAACAGAGGAGGCAAAGCTTGTTCCAGAAGCTGTCCCTCCAACTTGGACATCGTCCCCTCTCTGACCTTCCCTGCCTAAGGCCCCAGGCCATCGGGGAGCAAAGGTGATGATGGTTCTGGGACAGGAAGAGAAAAAGCAGAGCTCAGAGTAAGAAAGAAGACGCTAAACTAAGTGCCAGCGAACAGCTGGGGGAGCGAGAGGAGAGGAGCAGGTGTGTTTCCAGTGTGGGGATGTCTGAGAGAGGGATGTGCAATGTAGACTTTAGGGAAGCTCTTTTCCAAAGGTTAGGACAGAAGAAAGGATGTGCCTGGGTAGAGACCGTACAACTGCAGAGGCCCGCGGAAGTGAAATTCTGGATGTACACCAACACTTCAAAACGAAAACATGCCAACCAAGCCCCAAAGAACCTACCTTTAGTCTCATTTGCTAGGAAACAGACTCTAAGATGGAGATTTGTCTTCAAAAGGCATAGCGGGGAGTACCCTTGGGAATAATACCTCTAAGGGTGTGAGGGCAGCAGGATGGTGGGGGGACAGAGAGGCTGAGCTGTAAGGCAGTCACAGCAGAGGCCTCAGCCACTCCCGGGGGCACCTGGAGCTGGGATGGCCCTTTCAGGGTGTCCCAAGCTGAGGCAAGAGGGCCTGTGAACCCGGCATTAACCCTGGGCTGGATGTGGGCTACCCCCGGGAAGGGGGCAAAACCAAGGGAACTTTCTGGGGAGACGTTCAACTGCAAGACGGCAGCAAACAGTGCCCTCAGCACCTAGGGAGCGGGTGTCCTCCCTGAAGGAGGTCTGGGAGGCACATCACAGCCTCCCAGGAACTTAAGCGTCGATTGCATTCTACCCCTTGTACCACCGGACCCATGGGAGCAGCTCCTCCCGGTGTCAGTCCCTCTCTTCTCCTGGGGAAGTGGGTCTCAGGAGCACAAGTCACACACACTCAAGATCTGGCTGCTCTGCTGTCCCTTGTACAGACCCCCTGCTACCACGAGTCTCTGCTGACCTGATTGGGTGACCCAGACCCTCAGCTCTGCGAGGTCTCAGCCTGCTCAGCCCATGGCTGCTGCATGTCACCACTTGCCATCAGAACTGGGCCGGGGACCACCACGGGTCGCCCGGTGCCTCTGAGTACCCACCGTTATGTAACAGCAGCCTTTCCTCCCCTTGATGACCGGGGTGGTGACTCTGTTCCTTGCCAGCTGGTTTCTTGGCGTGTGAGCCTGACATGAGACAGTGGCAGCCGTGATTTCAAATCTAACGGGATTCCTACCGTGTTCCCTGGTGGGGACTCTCTCCTTCTGGGAACCCTCTAGACCAGATATCGGCAAACTTTTTTAAAAAGGGCCAGTAGCAAATATTTTAGGCTTTGCAAGCTAAGAGGCAAAATTGCGATGTAGGTTATGTAAGTACTTATATAACCACTTAAATGTAATGATTTGAAACTCTAAATCCATTCTTAAACTCTTGGGCCATGGATTTGGCCCATGGGCCATAGTTGGCTGACCCTGCTCTAGATGGACAGAGCCTAAAATGACTTGGCCAGGGAGCACCAGTTCCCCAGGCAGGTCACGGAGTGCGGTAAGCAGGGCCACTGGTCCCTCCACCCCTCTGCCCAGGGGAAGGCTTTCTCCTTGCCCCTCCTCCATTCTGGACTCCCCGGTTGGGACTCTAGTGCTACAGCAGGCCTTTTGGGGTTTGTGACACACGCCACATCCGCCTCGCTGTGCTCCACATTTGTCCTTTCCCTCCCTGTTCATCTGGTCATAGGACCCGTCCCCCTGCGTGATCATGATGTGAACAGAGGGGACATCCTGATGCAGCAGGGGTAGATGGCAGGGGAGGCCTGGCCACCTGCACGCAGGCCCTTTGACCTCATCTTAGGACCTGGTGGGTCTGACAGGCCTCACGGTGGTCAGTGCTGGTGGCATGGTCACTTGGTATCCCGTGACCAGAGGCCCCATGTCTACCAGTCCCCATAGCACTCCAGGACCGGATTTCCACATAGGCTCTAATTTTCCAGGGCAGGTGGCCCTGCCTGGCCCGGGACTATATGATGTGCACTGTGACGCTCTCAGATTTGCTATCAACTCCACCCAGCCTCTTTCTCCACCACAGACCTGCCAGGGGTTCAGGTACTGTGTTGTCAAGTACCACGTAACTGAGCGCAGGCCTTGGGACCCCTGCATCAGCCAGCATGCGATGTGGCCAGGGCAGCTTGCTCATAGCCCATGCCTTCTGCAGGGCCCTTTCCTACTCGGGGTCCCCCTCAGGGGGCAGCCTTCTGTGTCACTCTACCAGCACACTGGAGTTGTATTCCTCGGAGTGGAACATGCTGCCTCCAGCGCCCACAGATGCCGTCTAGCACAGTGCCGCCTCCTTAGCAGTGGCAGGGCGAGACACAGTAGTCGGTCCTTACTTTGGAGAGGATGTCCTGACACGCCGTACTCCACAGGACCCCTAAAACTTCGCTGATGTGGCAGGTCCCTGAATCTTCACAGGGTAGTTCCCCACCCTCTGAAGTGCGTCTTACCAAGGCCTTGTCACTTCTTGCTCCTTTGATCCTGTTCACCTGTGGTCATGAGAGCTGATGTCAGGCCTTGTCCCCACACCAGCCAGTCGGCTGATACTCACCCCTGGGAAGGACATGCACCCTTGGGCGAGGCGACTCCCTTCCAAGGAGGACAGTTTCTGGAGAGGGACTTCCCTGTGAGCGGCTCCAGCTCCAGTGCTCTTCGAGCTGGGGAACCCTTCACCACGAAGGGGGATCTGGGACCCATGACCCTAGGCACATGTTTCAGAGCCACTGGGACCTCTGACAAGAGTGCTGACAACACGGCAGCCCCAGAATGAGCCAAGAATCTTCTAGAGGTGAAACTTGAGAAAGCACATTTGCAGCAGGAAAAACAGAGAGGCCGCCCTTTGCTCTGAGTAGGAAGTGTTTTGCTCTTGGAGAATCAAGAGGAAACACAGCTATTCACCTGCTATTTTTGCTTCTGGCTTCACCATCAAAGAGGCTGGTCAGACAGGAAAGGACAGATGGGGCGACGTGCAAATCAAAGCATAGTATAAAGGGACCATTGGCATGAACTCTCTCTCACCTCCAAGACTAGAGGACTTTGCAGGCTTGACTGTGGAGCCAGCCCCCACATATCAGAAGTATGGGCGGGGCCGCTGGAGAAAGGGCCCGAGGAGCTAGGAGCAGATCAGGGTCCTCACGTGCAATGCTCCAGTGTGACTCAATGTAGAGAATCCATTACCCACGGCCCAGAGAGAAATTTTGAGGTAGGGAGATTTGCTGGGGATGGGAAAAGGCAACAGTGAGATTTATCCAACACGGACATATTGAGCCGACAACCCGTTTCTGTGTGTGCGTTCAGCCAGGAGACAAGCCTGGCCTTTGCTTTCTTGAGATTTACCGCATCTTCTTTTGTACTTCTCCACCCCTTTCCCAGGAGAATCAAGGGGAGCTTGTAGTCTGTTCTTATGAACCCACCGGATCTGACGATTTGGAGAGGTTCTTCCTCTGCCCCTAACCCCCGCCTCATTTTTTGCCCAGCAGAGATATGGACATAATTCCTCTTTGCCCCTCCCCACTTCCACTGGGCGGGTCAGGACTCAGGGGAGAGAGCCCGCAAATCCACGCCAGTAGATTAAATCATAGGAAAGGGTGGAATGTAGAGATTACATTAAAAATTAGGGAGTGGAGGGATCAATTAGAGATGGAACCAGGGATAAAAGGCTGGAAGGGACCGGTTAAAAATTCAGTGCTTTGAAGAGTGCTTCCCCGCCTCATCCTGAAGATTAAGAGCATTGTGGGCCTACAGGGATAAAAATGGAGAACGTGAAATCAGCAGACAGTTCAGGAAACAGAAGTGCATCTTCATTGTTCAAAGAGTCGGAGAGACAGGGATGATTTGATGGTGGTCTCTGCCTAACTAGCCCCGACGGCTGGGAGAGAAAAACCCATGAGGAGTCGGTGTCCATAAAACGTGCTAGACAGAAACCCAGCGTGAGCCACGTATGTTTTAAATTTGCTAGCAGCCCCATTTTTTCAGAAAGTAAAAAGGAACAGGTGGCATTAATTTATTTTCTATAACGCAATATATCCAAACTATTCCAACATGTCATCCACCTTTTAAGAAATTATGGAAATATTTACATTCTTTTTTCACACAAAGTCTTAAGACTCTGGTATGTATTTTGCCCTTAGCACACAGGTTGATTTGGACTTGCCACATTTCTCATGGCTACCATACTGGACAGTGCAGGACGGAGGGCTGGAACTGAGGGACACACGGGATGCTGGGAGCACCCAAGGGGCCCCCCTAACTCAGTCTGAGGATGCCTGGGAGATTCTGTTGGTTATTTCAAGACACATTTATCCCATGCCTGTGACATCCCTGCTTCCTAAAAATGACACCCAGTCTGTGTCAGGGCCACAGCAGCATGAGTGGCCTAAACATTTCCCTCCCAGTTGACCTGCGATCCCTTAGATTTGTTGTTGCTTTTTTTAGAATTGTGGTAAAATACACATAACAAAATTTACCGTCTTAACCATTTTGACATGTACAGTTTAGTGGCGTTAAGTACAGTCATATTGTTGTGCAACCATCACCACCATCCATTTCCAGAACTTGCTCATCACCCCAGACAGCAACTCTGTACTCGTTAAACAATCGGTCCCCATCCCCCACTACCCCCAGCCTCTAGAAACCACCATTCTCCTTTCTGTCTATGATTTTGACTATTTTAGTTCCTTCATATAGGTGGGATATACAGTATGTGTCCTTTCATGCCTGGCTTATTTTACTTAGCATAATGTCCTCAGGGTTCATCCATGTTATAACATGTATCAGAATCTCCTTCCTTTTTAAAGCTGAATAATGAAGTGTGTGCACATACCATACTTTGTTTATCCATCTTTTCCACCCTTTGGCTATTGTGATTAATGCTACAGTGAACATGGGTGCACAAGTATCTCTTTGAGACCTTGCTTTCATTTCTTCTGGGTATTTACCATGAAATGGAATTATTGGATCATATGGTAATTCTCTTTTTAATTTTTCGAGGAACTCTCATACTACTGTTGTCACAATTTTTAAAAACAGCATTTTCTAGCCACAAGTTCTGTATAAAATCTTGGTAAGCCCAGAGAAAAAAATTCAGGGAATATTTGATAATTCACTTTCTTTTTTTCCTCCTGCAGTTTTTGAGCCACCCTCATCACAGCAGGCTTCTGTTTTTCTCCTTCCCACTCTCTGATGAGAGTGAAGTTTTTGACAAACTGAGTGTCATCACAGACGCCTCCGAAAGCAGCAAGCAGCCTGGGTACAGCTGCAGCCTCCGGACCCTGTCTGGGCAGGACTAGCCCTCAAGGTAGCCTCTGAGGAAGGGGGCACACTCTGGTGGGCACAGCAACCCCCTACTTCTCACAGCTGCCTCTCAGGGTGATCAGAGCAACAAACGTGGGCTGAGACCACCTGAGCAAGCCCCAGTAAGAACTCTCAGATGCTGGGACCATGTCTAAACAACCGAAGAGCTAGATTTTAAAGGCTTACTTGTCAAAAATACTCTATCTTGGGAACTTGCCACTTGATAAAGGCCTTAATGATTACAAAATAGTTGGCCACCGCGGACATAATTTTCAGCCTCTTACGCTCACTAATATAAGGAGCAGGTTTTGATTGTGAGAAATAAAAATATTTCAAAGGAGGAATAAAAACAGATGGTGTAAAATCCTACCAGACTGCCAATAGACTGATCTAAAAAACCACCTGACCTGAACAGTGGTCAGGAAGGGCTGTACAGAGCACAAGCTTTCTGGATTCTCAGGGATGCTTCGACTGGGTTTTGGTTCTTTACCTGTACCTGTTTCATATAGTGCTGGTGCTCTATTAAAATTTTATTCTCTAATCTGTGTGTGTTTGTGATACTCCATTTGCAGAATTGTCAGATGCGAAATGAGGCTCTTGGGTGCCATTTTTGAAAAAATAAAGCACACACACAAAAAATGTTTCTAGCAAGAAAGGAAGGGATAGTCATAGGCCAAAACCTAGAGAAGCTGGTGCTACCTTTCCCCTTGAGGCATTTGACAAACCCTGTAGATCGCAGCTACTCACCAGGGCTCAGGGGACAAAAAACAAAGCTTAGGGCTCACAAGGTGGGGTGTAAAGGAGACCTCCCCATAAATCTGAAATCCCAAAAAGCCATCCTCTTTGTATAAGGGTGAACCAGGAAGAAATTAATCCTATCCCACCCCTATATTAGTTTCCTATAGCTGCCATAAAGTACCACGAACTGGGTGACATAAAATAACAGAAATTTATTCTCTCACAGTTCTAGAGCCCAGAAGTCCAAAATCGGTATCAATAGGCTGAAGTCAAGGTGTCAAAGAAGTCTTCAGAAGTTCTAGGAGACGCTCCTTTGCCTCTTCCTTGCCTCTTTCCTTGCCTTTTCCAAATGCCTCATTCCTTGGCTTGTAGCATCACTCCAATTTCTGCCTCCGTATTCACATCACCCTCTCCTCTTCCATATGTGTGTCTCCCTCTGCCTCTCTCTTATAAGGACACTTGTGGTTGCATTTAACGGCCGCCCAGGTAATCCAGGATAATTTCCCCATCTCAAGATCCTTAATTTAATCTGAAAATACCCTTTTTTTCAAGTAAGGTCACATTCACAGGTGCCAGGGAGTAGGGCCTGATATCTTTGGGGTAGTTAATTCAGCCTACTACACATCCCCACCAGGGACTACAAGGAAACCTTTCTGGTTTTGGTTTTGTTTTCTAAGTGAAGGGGCAAAATATATCTTTCCTGAGAAGTTATAATAAACACAGTAGGTTCGCAGCCCCAAATCACATCATCTGGGTGGTCAAATAATACTTCAGGGTTCACTGTTAGAAATCACAAAACCCGAAAGGAAAACATCACAAGCAAGAGCGAAACCAGACCCGCAAAGACTTTAGGTCCTGATATATAAACAGTCAGAGATTATACAGCATGCCTCATACAGTTAAATAAATGTGAGGCGGGGGTGGTAGAAGAGGGTAAACCGGGTCAAATATATGGTGATGGAAGGAGAACTGACTCTGGGTGGTGAGCACACAATATGATATATAGATGATGGATTACAGAATTGTACACTTGAAACATATAATTTTACTAGCTGTTGTCACCCCAATAAATTTGAATTTTAAAAAAACTAAATGTAAGAAGGCATTGATAATGTCGGGAAAGCACAAGAGGCTGAATCATTCAGCTTTGTGGTGGTAACACATGAACCCCAAATCTCAGTGGCTTTTGAAAACCAAGACTTGTTTCTCGCTCATTTTATGTGTGTCTGGAGGTCAGGTGGGGTTCTGTCCTAATCTCGGTGACTTTTTCATTGTAGGATCTAGGCTGAAGGACATGCCAAGTGGGGAAAGAAATAAAACCCCCACAATTGTTCTTGAAGCTTCAGCTTGGGCATGGAGCGAGTCACTTCTGTCCACATTCCTTTGGCCAAAAACATGGCAGAGTCCAATATCAACAGAGTGAGGAAGTGTCGTACTCCCCAGGGAGGAACAGCAAGTTGCATAGCATCAGGCGGGAATGCATAATTCTCTTACAAGGAAGGGAGAGAATAATTGGGAGCAATAATTACAATCTACTACACACCAAGAAATGACCAAACATTTTGGGGAGAGGGAGCAAATAGACTTCTAGAAATGAAAAATATAATCATTGAAATTTAAAAGTCCAAGAATGTGCTTAACAGCAGATTAGACGCAGCTGAAGAGAGAATAAGTACACTGGACAGAAGGAAGCGTGTACTAGTCAGGGCTCTCCAGAGAAAGAGAGCCAATAAGATATGTGTGTGTGTCTATGTGGAGAGAAAGAAAAATTTATTTTAAGGAACAGACTTAAAATGTGATTTTCATATGATTGGGAAAGTTGGCAAGTCCGAAATATGTAGGGCAGACTGAGAGTTTGGAGACCCAGGTAGAGCTGATAATTCAGTTGAATCCAAAGGCAGTCTCAGGGCAAAAGCACCTCTTTCTCTGGAGACCTCAGTCTTTTGTCTCTTCAGGCCTTGAACTGATTGGTTGAGACCCACCCACATTATGGAGGGTAATCTGCTTCACTAAAAGTCTACTGATTTAAATGTTAATCTCATCTAAAACAAGACTTTTACAGCAACATTCAGATGTGTTGATTGTTGATCGATCAGATATCTGTGTACCATGCCCTAGCCAAGCTGACACAAAATTAACCAGCAGGGGGAAAGCAAATCTGAAGTCATTATCAAGGGTACATACAGTACAGAGAAACATTAGGATGGAAAATATGTGAGGTTAAGATATAAGCTATATGAAAGACAGAGTGAGATAATCTATTACATGTCTAATCAGAGTTTCAGAAGGAGAGGTGAGAAAGGATGAGGCAAATGCAATACAGGCATGCCTGATTTTATTACACTTCACTTTACTGTGCTTCACAGATACCGCATTTTTTTACAAATTGAAGGTAAGACCCTCCATCAACAATAAGATTATATCTCGCTGAAGGCTTGGATGACAGCATTTTTTAACAAAATATTTTTAATTAAGATATGCCCATTGTTTTGTTATATATAATAGTACTACACACTTAACAGACCACAGTATAGTGTAAATATAACTTTTATATGCACTAGGAAAGCAAAGAACCTATGTGACTCGCTTGACTGAGATATTTTATTGCAGTGGTCTAGAAC